AGCACCCAGACTCAGTGAAATTATGAACTAAGTAGCCTGAAACTCGGTGAAATATTATTCAATTTCCATTACTTTAATATCGGTAAATATCGCGCACGACCAGCAAAGATAACACAAATGTTTCATGAAATTATTTCAAACTTTATTGGGAGATATAAACGAATTAATAATTTTACCCTCTATAATGAATTGTTTTTGGGAGAAAATTAAATTGCATTCACAGAAAACGTCAACAATGAAAACTCGCGTTCACCTATTTCCAACTTTTTTGCGTTAAAGACACTTGAACACTCTGAAGAGGAGACACTTGAATGCTGGGTTAAGGAACTCATTATATCTTTCATGGAATTCCAGCCTCCGTACAACACGCCTAACCCGTATAATATCTTTAATGTCATCTTCATAATGCACGAAGTCCATAAAATTCAACAGAGCTTGTTTATAATAATTCCACATTGTCCTGTCATACTTTATATATATTTCAATTTATTTATAAGACTTTATTCTAATTTATTTCCTCATAATCCTTAAAATGGAAGCCATCGATGAGAGGCATTTGCCAGCCGCGGTGCCGTCTGTACATGTAATTATTCGCGCCAAGTAACATTCTGAAAGTCTATAATATTTATTACAGTACACGCAACGTAATTTATTCTGGCAGATGCATGGAAAAAAGAGCAATGTTAACTGCAATTTTTGTGCTTTTATGCGTTCATAAATACAATAAATACAAAACCTACGTAGATGTTTGATTGCCAACTCAATGAAAAATCGCCCAAATTGTTAACTTTGGTATGAAAAAGGCCCACCTTTGTCCACCTATATGTCCAACATATACCAAACAGGCGGATTGACGTCTTCACATCCGATACAACTATCAATTTTGCTATTACAAAAAGATTCATTAAATATTTACTTTACTTATCTCTAGGTACCTGAGTGTTCAGGGCTGGCCAATAAAATATTAGAAATGTATTTCATTAATTAATTTAGCAGCGTTTAAGTTCCTTATACACAAGAAACTATTTAATTTTCGGTCACTGTTATTATATATGTACAATTTATATATGATGTCTAGTGGAAAAGCACAAAAACGGTACAGTTGTAAAATTTCTTTCATAGTTATAAAAATAACTATGTGTAGGGATGACCACAAATTTATCGTTTTCAGATAACTACATTTAAACCGAACTGCTGAACGCGTCATGAATATTACGTGAAATATGAATGGAAATATTAAATGAAAATATTATTAACGAACAACAGGGAATTTTTCATCTCCCAGAATGCAATCGCCTGTAAATTTATTGCGACAGATAGGACGGAATGTACAGAATCAGTTGACGTGCTGCATAAAATTGAGTTAAGAACTGGCAATTTTAGTTATTAATGAACGACAACTCACTGAACAAAGACGTGAGGGCTTCTTCTCACTTCACTGTGAAGTATTTTAGCGCAAAAAACTTATGAAAATCCTGAATTAATGAGAACGGCCAGCAGGTTCAGAGCGATAGTACACAACTCACTCCCACTTCTCGATGTCCACGCTGACACTGAAGTGCAGTAATTTAGTGACTGCACAGAAAACATGGCAGTTTTCTTTCGCCCGCCCTGGCGAAACTGTACTGTGAATTATTCTTGTTGAGAAGTTAATAAAAATCCAGAATTGTTGCGAGACGACCATCCGCTTCAACTCAAGGCCAGAGCGCAACATATTAGTACGCCCTTCGACGTCCCTGTGGACACTGAACAGAAAACGTGGCATTTTGCTTTCGCCCGCCCTAGCGCCCTGAATGGCTGCTCGCTGGCGGTCACCAACAGGATTAGAATATTGGCCTTTTTATGGCCAAATCTAACGATTTTGGCCTTAAAACAAGTGCGTTGGCCCGAAAGAATCTCTTAATTAAGACCTATAACTAATTTTTTTCTTCACTGCAAGAAATGCCCAAAATGGAATTTTTGCATCAGAAATTACAATTTCCCCCATAAGTATTTAATTGTAGCTAGTTTTAGCCTTTTTTGTTCGCAGATTTGGCCGTTTCATGTTGCCACCATCTGGCAACCCTGCTGGTCACGCCGTTTGAACACAAGTGCATGGGTGATAGCGTGGGCTGCTGCGTGGACCACCCCGGCGCCGGTTCTGCACACTTTTTTCCCCTCAGTTCGTAACCAATGATAATTATTATGAAATTGAATGCACATTTTTTAATGCTCAATGAGCAGTGGCGATATTTTTTCTATTTATACCTCACTCTGTTATTAATTTGAACGGTATAACGGATGAATTAAGCTGGTTCGGAATGATTTATTTCCTCAATTCGTAACCAATAAATACGCAATTATCTGTTCAGTTTTCAATGCCCATTGCACTGTGGCGACGATTTTTTCAAATTTTTGCCTCCTCATGTTCTCAATTTAACGGTAAAATGGGTGGAACCTAATCCAACTTAATTGAAAATAGGATCAGGTAAAAATTTCAAAAATATCCTCAGCGCAACGAGCACTAAAACCTGTGGATGGCCTACGCACTTTTATGCGAACGATGAAAACTTTCATCATCCCTACCAGTTGCAATGAACTAACTTTTCGGTCCCATCTCCAGCAGCGCTTCCATACCGTCTGTGGGCATTTATATCTTTCCCTGCATGAGCGCCAAAATCTTATTAATTATAATAGAGAAAATTTCCAAAACTCTACTTCGGGGAGTCTTTTTTTGACACCGCACGAAAATGTGAGTAAATTATTTGTCAGAGTGTTTCAAAAGCTTTTTAAACTTAATTTGTGTGGAATAAATACCTCATTTCGTGCTATCTTTACTTTTAATGCAGGATTCATGTATGATGTATGATAAAAATATGCTAAAATAACGCAATTTATGTGATTTTCTCAATTATATGAAAGACATTTTTTCAGGGGCTACTGAATTAACTTGACAACCAGCCGATTCAAATAGATTCTCACCATAGTGCTGGAGGTACCCTGTGTATTATATATAAATATAAGTTGATATTCGTGATGAAAATGTTAGTTACAGATAACACATAATAAGTGGAAGCACAAATTGCACTCAGCTGAACTTAAATGACGTCAATGGCAACAAAAGGAGCAGCGTCAGCCACACGGCTTCTTGGGCCGCGGCCATGAGGTAGCGAAAAATAATTTAGTTTTCCTATATTAGGTGAGAAAAGGAGTGTAATTCCGTAATTTTTTTATTGAGCAGTTAATACAAACGCTAAGTTGAGCGGGGACATACGATTCATGATACTACGAACTAAGAGCATCAAAATTGAAAAATTATCAGGTTAGTGCTAAAATAGTAATTTTTTATGAGAGCCTTATACACTTCATAGAAAACGTTAATATCACACACTTTCGTTTTCTTCCACTCATCATGAAATATTCTCTTGCAAATTGGTGTGAGACACTTATATAATAGCGGTTTCAGCGTTTATTAGGCCATAGGCCTGTCGCCGATTTCTAACATCGCAGCACATTCACAGCATTTTGCGGTCTCGAACTCGCAACTCACTGCTACAATTCTGCTGTGCTTAACCGCCCGGCCTCTTCGCCGATTCTGACCAGAAACTGGCGCACAGAGCTGGGATCGAACCCGCGCCTCTCTGCGCCACTCCTGGTACTCTGAACTTTAACCACTGGGCCATGAGGCACTGGGTGATGAGGCCCTTGAACGCTGTGAGGGAGATACACTCTGAAGTGGTGATGATGATAGAATAGAATAGAAGTGTCAGCACTGAAGAACTAGGCTCATAGCCTGTTGCCGATTCTTGTACTTTTCGTGATTTGATTCACAAGGGATCCGGCCTTTGGGATTCGGACCAACGACTAAATTCCTTGCATCACCCTTATATTCATTCAAGATGATAAACCGTTCTTGTGTGAGAGTATAATCCTACGTAAGATCACCCTTTTTTCTCAAGCTACTTAATCTCTTCCCCTTCAAATAGCGCAGAAGTTAGGTAAGTTGATTTGTCGGGAGTACTGCAGTGTAAAATTTAAGACAATATAAATTCAAATTTGTTGCCGAGGTAAAATACTAACTGTCGCGAACTTAACTACGCCTGCAACCATTGACTCGCATTGGATTGGGTTCTCATTTTCCACGTAAAGCAATTTCGTAGTTTCTTTGAAAACGATGCATCCTGTCAGCACGGCATGGCATGCTTCATCTAAAGTTTGAATCTTTTAAGACTAAAATGCCAAAATTTGCCTCTAGTATGTCGAGTGCTCATCTGCATCAATTTGTTAGTAATCGTCTAACATCATTTTAAATATTGCAGGGTCGGTAACTAACAAAGAGTCCTAACACTAAAGTAAACCGGCACTAGAGCAGGTAGACGACTTTCATTATACACTAGGAGCTTTCCATTTCGTTTTACGCTTTTACCTTCATCGTGGGTTAAAACTTGTCAGCACAAGTTACTTCTAATCTGAGGTGGCCGATTGGTGAAGATCAAAGAGATCGGAGCGAACGTCGAGCTTCCTTAATCCACAACTAATCTTGAGAATCCTGGTCGAAATCGGCAAAGTCGTCAAGTGGAAAAGAATCAGTGACAGTCCAACATGGCGTTTAGTCTTAAATCAACAGTGTCCTCAACTTTCCTCCTAAATTAAAGAGACCGTTCCCGTAGCAACATGACCAACATCTAGTAATGCAGGCCACAAGCTAGACTAGAATATTTTTGCATCTTTTCAGCCTGTTGAAGTATACTCACTCCTGCACATGTCTAAACTTTTCCAACTCTACATCCAAAATTGCTTATTCAAGAGATTTCCAGACTAAGCCGCTGAAAGGTCTTGTTTCAAGCGCAGACGCTAATATATCACACGATTAGAATCTTTAATAAAATGACTGTTCTAATGACATGAATTTTCATGCAAGTCCCAGCCAGAGGCGCAGTAACAAGATCTCGAGACTGGCGAAAAATCTTTCCCGACCATCGCTCGAGACATCTTAATTACCGGATAAGATATTCAACACACAAAGCATATCTTTTTTATTGCCAAAATTTTATGACTACATAAAAGTCAACACTTCGCCCGTACGTTGAAGGTTCTAGATGAATGTGGCCCTAGCATCATAACAAGGAACTCTATATCATTAACTAGACTGCTGCACGGTACAATATTTTAGTGTAACATCACACGGGCAAAACCTTTAGAAAAATTTGATCAACACAAGGCCACAAATGCTCTCAACCCTTCCCTCTGCTCTTAACACTACGTTTCATGCGAATCCAGTGCTAGCGTCCTGCGCATTCCATTTCAAGTCGCAAAGTAAAGTCAGTTTCTTTAATCGTAAATCTCCGTAACTACAGTGTATTGTCATGCGTGCCTATAGGCTTCATCCAGTCTAATGATTTATAATTAACGCTTACGAACTGCCGGAGCACATGCACGAGCATAGCCAAGTGCTTGCGTGCGTAAGCAAACGCGCCTTCCACGTACTGCGTGAAGAAATTGTCCAAGATGACCAACTCCTTCTGAGGGACGCTGAAGACTGAGAAAAAAGCTTTCCTGATGCTGATGTCCCTCGCAGTTAAGGCCTTCAGGTTCTCGGGCCTAAAATACCGGTGGCTATGGATTGCGTCCAGAGCGTCGTATGGGAACTTGGTAACCAATTCCTTGAAGGTGAAGAGGATTGGTTTGAGGACGTAGAGCTGTATGAGCTCTGCGAACGAGTCTGGTATCCTAACGTCTGCCTGCAATTCCCCTATTTTGAATAGGGAGAAAGTGCGACCCTCCGCAAGGAAGTCGGTGCCTGGAAGATTAGGACGAGGTTAGATTACGCAAGACTAGTTCGAGAAAAATTCAGAAAATTTCAATCGAAAGTTGAACGCAGAAGCGAGCGAAGTGAGCCTGTCCGATGAAGAAAAATTATGCCAGATTCATCACAAGTCATGTTTTTGGCGCAAAGTTCTTAAGAGTTCCTCTTGGGAAAGTTTTGGACAATAGGTATCCCACACTTTGCACTGCTAATGGACATGTAGCGTATTGACATTCGTTACTCATTAGCCAATATTTCCGCCTTAATCGATGGTTCAATCTGAACTATAATCACCGACAATATGTCAGTCCGTGATTGATATTCACGAGTTTCTCTAATATAAATAAGGACCATTCATGCTGACAGCGGATGGACAAGAAGAACTAATTCTAAGTCAATTCGCTTCCTCGCATTTGCGGTAAACGTCTGGAAAAATTACCGCTACAACCTAGATATAAGTAAGCGTCGGTTAAATTCTTTTTATGCCCCTAGTATGAACGCGTTAAAGAACAGACTAGATAGAGTTATGGAAAATTGTAAGTTCAGACTTGAAATGCCTAGCACCATATCGAACCCGGTGGAAGTCTAGTAGCTATTTCAAACTATAATCCGTTCTGAAAAGATCCGATCAAATGACAGGATTTTAGATCTTCCGTGATCTTCTTCTTTCGCTAAACAAGTCACGAAAATGAAAAGACTCTGCGACAGGCCAAAGTATGGCTGCTAGTAGTTCCCCTCTTCATCAGATTTGAACGATAAAAAATTACCACAACAGCAAAAATTTATACAGAAACTAACAGCTTTAATTATGGTATATACAGTATATAGTTAATTCGTACCATTGTCAGAAGCGGCGGCAGGGCTGGTGAAGCACAGACAGGCCACGCTAGCCAACACAATGATGTTGCTGATGAACCTCATTATCGATTTACAACGTTGGATGATTTTTAACAAAAACTAACCAATAGATTTACTTAAATATGTCTGGAGAAGTTGGAAAGAATGTAACGGGTAGACGGTGTCACTATATATGGTCGTGGAGATTAGGACTAAGCCGGCTTAGCCTGGTCTAAGGGCTAAGGTCTATTTAAACTGGCACTTTGTAATAACGGTAAAAATTTAGTAAGGTATAAAATTTCATATATTGTATACTCCGTCACAAATATTCTTCCCAAGTGTCCACCAAACTAATGATGCATTTCGGGGTTAAACGCTTCATCTTCAATAATTTAGTCTTCAGGTTTGACAATGCTGACGCCAACAAATGCAACTACAGGCAACCACAGGACGACGTATGGACGTACTAGAAGATATATTTAACATCGCCAGCATAAACATTATCATACAGCGTTCAACCTACAAACTTATTGCAACAACCACGTTCAAACGCGCACATCGACACCCGTTCGACACCCCACTACATGCTCAATCCCAATACCATGAACAATTAATTGTAAATTTAACTGTTACACTCGAGGATACGGAATTTCAAGTCGAATGGCGCAGTGCACTTTTTCTTCATTCAAATGGCAAGTCAAAGTTGCAGTAAGCCGGAAGCTTGATATGAAATAAACTTTACGGCAGAGATATTACGTAAAATCATATTTTTTTATGCGGAAAAAAGTTTTTACGCAGTTGGTGCCATCTTCACGCCGATATTTTCCCTGCCATGCAGGATGGCGCCAAATAATTTTCCAGCTGAAACTACTTTCTTGTACTCGGGACTAAGACTAGCCTAGGAGTCTAGGACTAAGTTGTTCCGATCGAGACCTGTTTTTAGATATAATGTTAGGTCTTGTTTATATATCTTAGAAATTTGACTTATAAAATGATTTTATTCATTTTTAGATTGTTGAACTGATGATGGAGCTGGACTCCGAAACGTTTTCAATATCGATATAGTGAATTTGCTTGGCGTTTTGTTTGCTTTTAAATTCATTGTAAAATTATTTACATTTTCCTACTTACTAACTACTTATTTCTGTTTGTTTNAACATTTAATAATTTAATGTATAGGAATTAAAAGGTGTTGAAGATTTAGGATGAACATGGCAGTCTCAAACAAAAGTTTTACCTTAATTTTTTTCCGACTAATTAATTTGAAAAATGCCAAATTTCTCGTTTTTTTTCACGAAATCTTTCAGATTTATTCAAAAATTTCCTCAGAAAATTTATTTATTTATAGCAATAGGATAAAAATAGACTGCAATATTTCCCGTTGATTTAATATATATTCTTAGAAAAAACTTCCGTTAACTTGGTTAGACGGGGAGGCGCGTCATCAAGGACCACATATCCGTCATCAAGGACCACATATCCTTTATCAAGGACCACATATCCTTTATCAAGGACCACATATCCGTCATCAAGGACCACATATCCGTCATCAAGGACCACATATCCGTCATCAAGGACCACATATCCGTCATCAAGGACCACATATCCGTCATCAAGGACCACATATCCGTCATCAAGGACCACATATGACATTTCTTACACGCTAATTATAAACAAAACCTTTTCTTAAGATTCATCCTCACTCTAACTCTATTTATTCATCAATTACTCTACCAATTTAACAGTTATTCATCAATAATAATCATTAATTAAGTTATTCATTCATCATTCATCAAGTTATATTCATCAATGCTATAGCTATAGAAATGTGTTAATTCAGGCTATACAATTACAAAAAACAATACACAATAAACTATGAGGCTCAATTTGGACAAATCTTTTAGTAGGACCCAACGTCCCAGCCATGAGGGGACCCACTTAAAGGAGTGGCTTGACCCATTTAAGCAGCGGCTTGACCCATTTAAGCAGCAGCTTGACCCATTTAAGGAGCAGCTTGACCCATTTAAGGAGCAGCTTGACCCATTTAAGCAGCAGCTTGACCCATTTACGCAGCGGCTTGACCCACTTAAGCAGCGGCTTGACCCACTTAAGGAGCAGCTTGACCCACTTAAGGAGCGGCTTGACCCACTTAAGGAGCGGCTTGACCCACTATGGCTTAAATTAAAGAGCTTTATTGCATCGACACTGCACCAGCTTATCAGTATGCAGGCAAATGATATTGAGATTACGTTGATTACCAGTTGATTTTGTTGAAATTATTCAAATGTTAAATGCCTGATACGAGTTAATTATTCAGTATACAAGCAAAAAAAGTTGTAAAAACGTTGAATCGACATCATTTCAACGTTATTTCAACATGGTGTAATCCTGACGCACGAAAATGGCATAAAAAGACTTTAAATATTTTGACGTTGAAGTACCGTTATTTCAACATGATATGCCTGGTTTGCTAACTTATCAGCACGCTGGCAAATGACGTTAGAAAAGCGTTTAATCACCGTTATTTCAGCATGAGATGTCTGGTGTGCTTACTAACCCCTACACAGGCAAATTACGTTGAACGAACGTTCAATCTGCATCATTTCACATGATGCAGATTTTGCATCATTACATGTTTCAACACAAGACAATTAATTAATGGCTATGCAGGCAAATGACGAACAAACGTTCAATCTGCGTAATTTAAACGTTATTTCAACATGAGACAATTAATTAATTGGTATGCAGGCTAATGACGTTGAACAAACGTTCAATCTGCATCATTTCAACGTTATTTCAACGTCATTTAAACGTCATTTCAACGTTATTATAACATAAGACGATTAATTGTTATGCAGGCATCAATGGAAGGTGAGGGCGGCGGCGGCGTAGGAGACGCTGCTGTCGGAGGCGNTGATTACCAGTTGATTTTGTTGAAATTATTCAAATGTTAAATGCCTGATACGAGTTAATTATTCAGTATACAAGCAAAAAAAGTTGTAAAAACGTTGGATCGACATCATTTCAACGTTATTTCAACTTATTTAAACGTTATTTCAACGTTATTTCAACATAAGACAATTAATTAATTGCTATGCAGGCATCAGTGGAAGGTGAGGGCGGCGGCGGCGTAGGAGACGCTGCTGTCGGAGGCGCTGACGCAGCGATTGCTCTGCGCGTACTGCAGGAACTTGAGCTTCAGCTCCACACCAGGGGCGCCGCCCCCCGCCTGCTGCTTCTGCTGCAGTGAGGACATGGCCTGTGAGGGCATGAGAGATGTGAGGCACTGGGAGGACATGGCTTGGGAGCGAATAGTGGCACAGAGGACATGGCCTGTGAAGGTATAGTGGCAGTGAGGACATGGCCTGTGAGGACATGGCCTGTGAGGGCATAGTGGCAGTGAGGACATGGCCTATGAGGGCATAGTGGCAGTGAGGACATAGCCTGTGAGGGCACAGTGGCCTGTGAGGACATGGCCTGTGAGGGCATAGTGGCAGTGAGGACATAGCCTGTGAGGGCACAGTGGCCTGTGAGGGCACAGTGGCCTGTGAGGGCATAATGGCAGTGAGGCACAGGGAGGACAAGCACCACACTATCATCACCTGCAGCAGGACGCCAATGGGGTGTCTGCCGCAGATGGTGTTGCGCGTCCTCTTGAGGTAGTCGCTGAACGCTGACGGCGACCCGGACTCTATGAGGTCCATCGCCTGGGCAATAGATGTGCACTTAGAACATGGGACGTTAAATCTTGGGGACGGTAAATCTTGGAGATGTTAAATCTTGGGGATGCTAAATTTTAGGGATGGTAAATCTTGGGGACACTAAATCATAGGGATGTTAAATCTTCATGATGCTAAATCTTAGAGCGTTACATGTTTGGGACATTAAATGTTTTGTACGTTAAATGTTTGGGACGTTACATTTTTGGGACATTAAATCTTAGGGAAGTTAAATCTTTGGGATGTTAAATCTATGGGACGTTAAATCTATAGGACTTTGAATATTAGGGGCATTAAATCTTAGGGACGTTAAATTTTAGGGACATTAAATTTTAGGCACATTAAATCTATGGGACATTAAATCTTAGGGATGTTAAATCTTAGAGATGCTAAGTCTATGAGACATTAAATATTAGGGACATTAAATCTTAGGGACATTAAATCTTAGGGACATTAAATCTTAGGGACATTAAATCTTAGGGACCTTAAATTTTAGGGAAGTTGAATCTGAGGGACATTAAATCTTAGGGATGTTAAATCTTCAAGATGATAAAATCTTAGGGACATTAAATCTTTGGGAAATTGAATCTTAGGGATGTTAAATCTTTGGGTCGTTAAATCGTAGGGACATTAAATCTTAGGGACGTTAAATCTAGGGGATCACCCAGCCCCCACCTGTCTATCCAGCTGTTCTATCCACTGCCAGATGGGTCCAGAGAATCCATCCATAGGAGGTGTGTACCTGAGGGACAATATATGTTGAAATAGTGTACTTATGTTATATATAATAATATTATTATAATAAATATCATTGTTATGATAGATATTGTAATGAATATCATTATTATAATAGATATTATAATAAATATTACAAAAAAGAACAAACAGAATTTTATATTCTTCAGTCGAACCGATGCCAAAATTCATATAAAAAATTAAAAACAATTGTGTATATGAATTTTAAAATATATTAAAAATTTAGATTACAGATGAAAAAATTTCATCAAAGACCAATACAAATTTTGCTTGGCCCCCCCTGGCCCCACTGAACTAATGGCCCCAGTGGGCCCAGCTCACCTGAAGCGTTGGCCCCAGTGGGAACAGCTCACCTGAAGCGTTGGCCCCAGTGGGCCCAGCTCACCTGAAGCGCTGGCCCCAGTGGGCCCAGCTCACCTGAAGCTTTGGGCCCAGTGGGCCCAGCTCACCTGGAGCATTGGGCCCAGTGGGCCCAGCTCACCTAAAGCATTGGCCCCAGTGGGCCCAGCTCACCTGAAGCGTTGGCCCCAGTGGGCCCAGCTCACCTGAAGCGTTGGCCCCAGTGGGCCCAGCTCACCTGAAGCGTTGGCCCCAGTGGCAGAAGTCAGAGGATATAACAAAGACGTTGTGGGGCTCAGCGAGGTACTGGGCCAGGACCCGGCCATAGAGGGCCTCACGCTCCACCGTCAGGGACCCAACCAGGATGGGCACGATGGTCACGCGGTCCCGGTGCCTGGGCCCCACGGGAGGCAATTATTTTCCCATTTAATATTACATCGTGGTGAATTAATTATTCATTTATGGGGCACCATTGGGACACATGTTTATTTATGGGGCCCATGGGGACATATGTTTATGTATGGGGCCCATGGGGACATGTTTATTTATGGAACCCCATGTGAACTTATCAGTGGGGCAAACTATTTCATTTCTTCACATATGATAACAATTTTCAAATTTTTATTTTTATTTTCAAAATTCAATTCAAAATTCAATTGAATTTCAAAATTGGAAATCCAAAAATGGAATTTCCGATAAAATTCATTATTCATTTGCAATTCAGTGCTACAAATTTTATCCACAATTCAGTGAGATAGGTAATTTGTTTATATTCAATCACAATTTTGAACCTTTTCTCTTTCATTTTTTCAAAGTTCATATCAGCAAATTTTTTTCATTCATTCAAAATTTATTGCAAATTTTAAATTTTTCTAAATTTAGTGCAACAATTTTCACATAAAATAAATTATATATTTATAATGTAGTAATATATTTATTATAGCTTATTATATTTTATCTATACTTGTATATTTATTAAAAATATATTAAAGAGTCGCCGGACTTGTCATGAGTAATAATAGTTATCACTCAAACAAATAAATACCTACATCACATTGTCCCAAATAGTGACACACTTTCTCACCCACAGCACGAGCAGTGAGAGCAGACCTAGCACTGATACGCCCTTGTGCCGGGTCAAACTGAGTCAGGATGACACACATAAGGACAAAAAGTGCATCAAAATTTGGACAAAGTCCCGCTGATTTCTGTGAGTACAATAGTAAGTCAGCATGACTCACTATATCCCCAAGTACAATAGTGAGTCAGCATGACTCACTATATCTCCAAGTACAATAGTGGGTCAGCATGACTCACTGCTGCATGACCCGGGCCACGTAGGGCAACATCATCTCTATGCTGTAGTACAATAGTGGGTCAGCATGACTCACTGCTGCATGACCCGGGCCACGTAGGGCAACATCATCTCTATGCTGTAGTACAATAGTGGGTCAGCATGACTCACTGCTGCATGACCCGGGCCACGTAGGGCAACATCATCTCTATGCTGTAGTACAATAGTGGGTCAGCATGACTCACTGCTGCATGACCCGGGCCACGTAGGGCAACANAATAAATCTATCACTCTTACGTTCCAAAATAAACTAGCTCACTATTCTAGGACATGCACTCACTGAAACATTAAAAGAAACTAAAAATTGGTAAATTTTTTAAACAATTTTGTTCAATTTTCAAATTGAACAATTTGATGATTTGATTTCAAATTGAACAATGTCTGCACATATCTTATTTAATTCTGTAGATTGACTCCTGTAGCTGAACCTGAGGTCGCCCGTATCCGTACAACTTGGGCCCTGTCTCTTATACACATCTAGATGTGTATAAGAGACAGGGGGTACACTGAGAGAAACTATGGGGTACACTGAGAGAAACTATGGGGTACACTGAGAAAAACTATGGGGTACACTGAGAAAAACTATGGGGTACACTGAGAGAAACTATGGGGTAGGTACACTGAGAAAAACTATATGGTACACTGAGAGAAACTATGGGTACACTGAGAAAAACTATGGGGTACACTGAGGAAAACTATGGGGTACACGGAGAGAAACTATGGGGTACACGGAGAGAAACTATGGGGTACACGGAGAGAAACTATGGGGTACACTGAGAAAAACTATGGGGTACACTGAGAAAAACTATGGGGTACACTGAGAAAAACTATGGGGTACACTGAGAAAAACTATGGGGTACACTGAGAGAAACTATGGGGTACACTGAGAGAAACTATGGGGTACACTGAGAAAAACTATGGGGTACACTGAGAAAAACTATGGGGTACACTGAGAAAAACTATGGGGTACACTGAGAAAAACTATGGGGTACACTGAGANATGAAGAGATATTCTAATAGGTAATAATAATAAACAGATGATAAACTCTACACAGCCATTATAGTGACATAAGGTTGCATAGCTGTCTCTTATACACATCTAGATGTGTATAAGAGACAGAGTGAATACACCATGTCTTCAATCCAAAGTACACAGCAACACAATGTAAACAACAACACAATGTATACAACAACACAATGTAAAGAACAACACAATGTACACAACATACACAACAACACAATACACAAAACAACACAAGCCTCACACGAGCACCGGTGAGATCTGTCTGAAGGCGTGGGCACTGACGGCGCCGCTGTAGCGGTAGCCTGCATGCCTGATGCATCAACAAATATAATAGAAAACTTTATAATAATCAATTATATAATCATATAATTATACAATGCATATTATATAATAATATATATTGAATGGAAAATATAATGACATTCCAAAATTAAAATGAAAAAATGTCCCAAGTAGAAGAGACATTTCTACAATTCAAATTATCTCATATAAATCTAGTTTTGTCCAAATTGTTTTCAGATTAATGGCAAAAATAATGATTGTGCTAAGATATTAGAACTGAAATTAATTATAAAATTTAAATCAGTCTGCTGTTCTTGAAATTTTGCATCACAGAGTCAAGTCAAACATTAACTTCTTATTTTTGAATGATATATAATACGTAATTTATGCTGCAAAAATAATAAGTATTTTGCTACTTGGCAACTCACAGGGCAATTGAAGTTGCCAAAATATGAAGTATTTTGCTACTTGACAACTCATGGGGCAATTTATGTCATCAAATTAGGAAGTATTTTGCAACTTGGCAACTCACGGGGCAATGATGGCTCTGGCGGGTCCATGCACCACCTCGGCCTGGGAAAGCCACCCGTCAAGCTGGCGCTCCAGCTCTGGACCTGAAATTATTGAATCATTTAGGTTATATGCTTGAATAAATAAATTTAGAATTGAATTACAAAGAAAATGCTACTAAACTATTCATGAAATCATTACTGCACTCAAACTTTGAAAAAAATAATATAATATACAAATGTTAAAAATTTTTATTTAGAGTTAAAAGTTTAAATTTTGGTTAAATACAAAAAAGGTGAAATGAATCTTAAGTTTGGGAACATATTTTTGACATGTTTAAGCATAACGTCAAAATGCCAAATTCTAATGTCTCTCCAAAATGAATAAATAGCATAGATCATTTGAAAATTAATAATGATTTGAAAAATGGAGAAAAAAACATAAAAAATTAACTTAGTTTGCATAACAAAATGAATGTTATTGAGATAACAAAAATAAATAATGATTGCAGCAAAAATTTATCTAATTATAAATAATAGTTTGTTTCAAAAAATTGTACTATCTAGTTACAAATTGAAACAAATGTAAAAAAGATTATTTCAACAAGATAAATGCTTGTACGGTGAACTGACCGTTATCACTGTACCAGCTGCCGGCATGGGTGGCCTCACGTTCTCTCTGCTGACTTGACATCTTAGAAGTGTTAATACTACAAGGCCTTATATCAAATACTAGTTCTGTGGAGAAATATTAATATTAAACTCAATGGATGCTCTGAGAAGTGTTTATTTCCTTTGCATTAACAAAAAAAAAGAGAAAAATATATTATTAAGGACACAAATGGTGTCCTAATTATTAATAAACAAATAATATATTAAACAGAAAATTTACATAATAAACATATATTCTAATAATAATAAATAGATAATAAACTATACACATGCTTTATAGTGACCTAAGCTACAGAGTATGACTGATGATTATAAGATCTTATAAACTATAAACTAATTTCCATCATGGATATTTGGTGGAAAATTTGGAATACTGATTGGTAGAAGATTTTGCATCATGCTGTACTTCTAAAATTAGTGGAAGATTAGATGGATTAAAAGTTGTTGAAGATTAACAGAGAAGAAAGTCATCTGTGGTCGACATGGCCACATTATACTACGACATATACGTGGCTAGCCCGTGAGATTTAGTTATAAACTTTGGCCAGCAGATAAATCAGATGATATTTTTCTGCTATTGAAGCCAATCGGCAAATCTAATAGAAAAAGAAGCTTATTCATGGGCTGGAACATGGATTGGTCCCATAAACACGATACAATTGGTCCCAAGCCAACATATTATATGTGATATATATTCTGGTTTCATTTGGCTTCTCAAAAAAAAAATTTGAAAAAAAGAATGGCTATTGCAATAAAATTTCAAAAAGATCGGTTAGGAAATGCAATAATGCAGGAGACCCTAAGTAAAACAATCAGGGTCTATAGTGCACCCTTCTACTTCGATCCTTGATGAAGTGCAATACAACAATCAACAACATTGGCCAGCAAAGAGACATCAGAAGCACTGCAAATGCAGTGCTTCGTAAACGATGTTGACAATGCACCCACAAACATTCGTAAAATGGGCAATTAATTTTGAATGGATGGAAGCATTCTATGCTAAAAATTGAATTGTATTCTGCCATGATTGGTTTATCATCAGGATTGTCCATTATGAATACGTATACTATTACGTATTATCGATTATGAACAACCTTGCTTGATTTACCATCGGAAAAAGTGTTGTTTGAAGAAACGTTATGTTAATGCCGAGCGGTTCCATATGGAACCAAGCTATAATTTTTCACATACAACGAAAAATAAAAATATGAACATACTTTTTGCTTATTACCATCACAAATGATAATATTCTCACAAGGACCGAAAAAAAATTCAGAAAATAATTCTCGTCATTAATGGGTTAAGTTTGAGAGTTAATTTTAGACAAGTTTAAGGGCATTATTTAAATGAAGTATTTTAATGTAAGTATTTTCGAAATGAATAAGTAGCATGGATCATTTCAACATTAATCATCATTATAAAAAAATTGAGAAAAGAACAATAAAATGTGATAAACTTAGTATGCATAACAAAATGAATGTGGTTGAGATACACAAAAATGAATAATGATTCTGTCATAACTCATAAAATTATTCGATTAATAGATTACATGAATAATTTCTTTTATATGAAAAATTTCAATTTTATATACTTTTTCTCAAACTGAACAAAATATGTCTATTACTTACATAAAAAAAACATAAAAAATTAAATGAAGTCTATGGTTGACAAAATGACATTTGAGAGAAGAAAATTATGAAATTTACCATATAAAATTGAATATAATTTAGAAAGATTAATTCAACAGGATAAATGCTTGTATGGGGAACTGACCGTTATCACTGTACCAGCTGCCGGCATGGGTGGCCTCACGTTCTCTCTGCTGACTTGACATCTTAGACGTGTTAATACTACAAGGCCTTATATCAAATACTAGTTCTGTGAAGAAATATTAATATTAAACTCAATGGATGCTCTGAGAAGTACGTTTTCTTTTCTTTGCATCAAAAAATAAATAAAACGAGAATACCGTAATATATTATTGAGGACACCAATGGTGTCTTAATTATTAATAAATAATATAATAAACAGAAAATATACATCATGAAGAGATATTCTAATAGGTAATAATAATAAACAGATGATAAACTCTACACAGCCATTATAGTGACATAAGGTTGCATAGTATGGCTGATGATTATAAAATCTTATAAAATACTTTCCTTTGAGGATGATTGGTGGAAGATTTGGCATGATGATTGGTAGGAGATTTTGCATCATGCTGTAGGTACTTCTAAAATTAGTGGAAGATTAGATGGATTAAAAGTTGTTGAAGATTGGTGGTACCGGTAGATTGGATATAACTAAGGAGCTGGTAGATTTGAACTAAAGTTAGCTTGATTAAGTGATTATGGAGACAAAAGATTCCCCTCCAAAATTACAGATTTTCACCTCTTTCCAACTCATTATAAATATGATGCAACTCTCATGAAGGTTTGACTAAACTTTCATAAGTAGTTGAAAATTTAACAAAAATTTCAGAAAAAAATGGCAGGTACCATATGCCAGATTTCTTTTAATCTAATCAGAAATTTATTGTTCAGTTTTGTACATGAAATAGAATTTGTCTATTGAAGACCAGCAACATAAATGCTAAGGCAAAAGGGCAGCATAAAAGTAATTGGTGTTAGATATTTTCCTGTTACAAAACTGTTTTTTACAGTAAAAAAATGGTTTGACAGATGGTTCTGCTGTTCTGGATAAATCAAATGTTTGCTGCAACAAATTACCACCTAGTTTTCAAGCTTTGCTTTGAAAAAAAAAAATAGATTTATAGATCAAATAGGATAAACTCTTGTGAGTTGCTAAGGATGTAACTATTTTTTTTCATGGCTATGAAATTGATAAATCAAGGTTCCATTTCAAGTTATGGCTGGCAAAAATCAGGCATGGAAAATATCCTCTGAGTCGAGTCATAACCAGAGCTTAACTGCAATTTAAGGAGAAACAAGATTCTTGCAAAGTTGCAATGTCCAATTTTAAATATTGGCCAGAGCCCAGAGGTTTCTTGAAATCATGAGTACTAAAATGATTGTTTCATACATAATTTTTTTTTAATTTTTGGTGAAAACAGGCCATTTTTCTCATTTTTTAATAAAGAAATAGGTAAAAGACCATAGGAAGAGGAAAAATTGGCCAAATTTAAATTAATTCCAAGGTACCAGTTTGATTTAAATTTAATTACACTTTGGTGCTAGATGAATTACTTCCTTCTAATATAAAAAAATTAATAAATCAACCATAATGTTGCCAATTTCCAGAAAATTTGTCACTTTGGAGGCTTGGAGCCACATGATAAAATTTCAACTTTTCATAAGTAGGAAAATTCCAATCCTGCGCGCCCTTTTCCCGGTTGAAAGTCTAAGCTCATGATTAGGTAACGTAAAATCCATTTCATACTTATTTTGTACACAAATTTTCGATGTACCACAGTACCAGTCTCATCACCGTCCCAAAACTGCACACACGAACGCTCGCCTCGCCAGGCTGGCCTGAACAGAACTCAAGAGCTGTCCGTTCAACTCCGTTGTAGCAGGAGCAATGACCTCGCCTTCCTCATTTGTTTATTTTTTTGCCGTCATGTGCTGAATAGGAAAAGCAACTATTGGACAATCCCTCTACGTACTTTTCTCCTTTGTTTCTTCAAACACAAAATGACAAGAAGATCTAGATTTTAAACCAATTTTGACGGACCTTAGTTATGTGTAAAAGTAAATTGACCTCACTGAAACGACGATGGCTATATTTGGGTTCACTGGAGTCTTTGTTAACTCCGATATATATTAGCGAAAGCTAAAAATAGAGCTATTTTTTTAGCTCGAGCGGAACGTAAATTATTTGCTGGAATAATCTTTTAACCGAACAGACCATAATATTCAATAATATACTATTGAAAATAGTCACTGTAAGTTTTCAGAAATTAACGACCGTGACGAATTTTTTCGAACAGTATAATGGAATTTTAAACAGAACGCAAATTGACCAATAATAATAATAGCGGTTTCAGTGTTAATTAGGCCGTAGGCCTGTCGCCGATTCTTAACATCGCAGAACATCCACAGCATTTTGAGGTCTCGAACTCGCAACGCAATGCTACAATGAGGTGTTAACTGAGCATCCACGAGAGCAGGTTGTGTGGTGCCTAAGAGCTCTTCGATTGCTTGTTGTTTGCTCTGTTGCCTTGCACATGCGTTGCTCCCATTCTCTCGTCTCGTTCTTGCTGACGCGGCGATTTTATTACTGACACGTCTTTCTACTGAGTGTGCTCGTTACTCTTTTGCGACGTGCCACTTGCTTGATTTGTTGCACGTAGTATTCGATCTAGCATAAGCGTAATTTTGATTGTAGCCACAGCAGCCATTCCGTCTTGGTCTTCGCCTAACCTTATGGAAACGGCCGAGGGATGGAGGGGAGAGGACGCGGGTGCCTGAGTTGCTCGACTGTTAATAACAGGAAGAGGACAGTTAATTGTTCTTCGTGTGAGGGATGTTACCATCTCTCATGCGT